CATGCTAGGACAGAGTACAAGTTTCAATAAGTTTAAACGATTGAAATCATACAAATTATCTTTTTTTGCCTAGGATAGAATGAAACCAGAAATGTAAAATGGTGCATTACTTGGTATAACAATTTTGGTGGTTCCTTATAAAATAAAGAATCCTATATAACAAAAGTCCAGAGACCAAAACGGCAGAACAACCAGAATGACCAGAGACCAGAATGACCACGGCCCCTTGCCCCGGCCGGCCCTGCCGCCAGCGGGGAACCCCAACCTGATCGGGGGTGTGCCCAGCCTGAAAACTGCCCATGGCCACTTGCCCTGGGCCTCTATTCCTTCCTATATAGTAAAAAGGTAATACGCAAATTGACCCTCACAGTGGGACGACCAGAACGACCGCTGGACCAGTCACTATGAGATACACTGACCACCTCTCAGTCCCTTTCCCCAGCCGGCAGGCTCCGATCACCCAATGGTTCCTGGAGCTTTTAGAAATGCCCTCTCTCAGAAAAAGGAAGGAAACCAACGAAACTGATACACTTCCTTTCGTGTTGTTCCATTCTAAGGAAAACGATGAAATGGACAAAAAAAGTAGTGCTGTAACTTATAAACTGTGGACTTTTCAATTCATTTAGAGTGTACAACGTCCTCAATCGACAAGCAAAAATGAAGTATTAAACAGTTTCTGCTATCGGTGGCGAGAAACTGGATAACGGATGACAATAATGAAGGCTCTCTGGAACCAGAGACAAATCTGTCCAGTCCTTCCCCTGGGGGTGCAAGGAGAGCACCTCGTAAAGATCCACCCAAAAGGTTGTCAGGTGATATGAAGCAGCATGAACCTACGTGTATTCCAGCGGGTGGAAAGAAAAAATTTCCTACGAGAGCCTGCAGCGTTTGTACCGCCCATGGAAAAAGGAGCAAATCTATATACTTACGTAAATTTTGCATGGTCCCTCTTCATAGAAGAAAATGTTTTACGCAGTACCGTACATTAAAAAAGTACTAGGAACTTTAATTGTTTAATTGTTTTGTAAATAAAAATGTTATAATTATTGAAAAACAACACCTAAAGTGCATTATGATCTGTGGTTATGATGATTTAAATAACGTGCAGTTTGCCCAAAAACGTGCGGTCCCTGGTGTATGTCTTAGAGATTTCGATGTGGTACTAAATGTGTTAAAACTCTTAAAAAGGCAGTTTTTGTTGCAGGGGTTAACAAGGTTTAAGGCACTGTAAAAATTGATAATTTACTTATGAGACCCAAAGAGTATTATGTTTCTATGAAAAGTATTTGCTAAAATACTACTAAAAGCCTGCTAATGTTATCTTTTGTTCTCTAATTTTTCTATTGCAATATGCAACACACATGAAGAAAAGTACAGTAATGTACAGCTTGACAATTTATCACTAAATAAATGCCTATATTACTACTTCCCACATCATAAGATAGAACATAACAACAACAACTGGGAAGACTAGTGTCCCATCCCTCAATAATTCCTCTTTCCTCCCCAAAGGAAACTGTTAACTCTGATCATCAAAACACTATATTACTTTTCTAAGAAGAACAAACTAAGCCCAAAGTTAGCTGAAGGAAAGAAATAAATATCTGAGTGAAAATAAATAAAATAGAAACTAAAAAAAATAGAAAAGATGGATGAAACCAAGAGCTTTTATTTTTGAAAAAGATATAACAATCCTTCTCAAACTCTTCAAAAAATATAATAAGTAAGAGGAGGGAACACTTTCAAACTCATTTTTCAGAAGGAGCGTTACCCTGAAAATACCAAAGCTAGACAAGGAAAATACAAGAAAAGAAAATTACAGACCAATATTCCTGATGAACATAGATGTAAAAACCCTTAACAAATATTAGAAAACCAAATTAAACAATACATTCAAAGGGTTATACACCATGAACAAGTGGGATTTATTTAAGGGACCCAAAAATGGTTCAACATCTGCAAATCAATCAATATGACACAGCATGTTAACAAAATGAAGGGTGAAAATCATATGATCATCTCAATAGGCTCAGGAAAAGAATTTCTCAAAACTCAACATCTTTTCATGACAAAAAGTCTCAACAAATTGGGTTTAGAGGGAATGTACCTCAACACAATAAAGGCCATATATGACAAGCCTTTATGTTATGACAGCTAATATCATACTCAATGGTGAAATACTAAAAGCCTTTCCTCTAAGCTCAGGAATAAGATGAGGATGCCCACTTCACAATTTTATTCATCACAGTACAGGAAGTTCTAGCCAGAACATTTAGACAAGGAAAAAAAAAAGGCATCCAAATCAGAAAGGAAGTAAAACTGTCACTATTTGCAGATGACATGATATTATATATAGAAAGCCCTAAGGACTCCACCCAAACACTATTGGAACAAATAAATGCATTCAATAAAACTACAGGATACAAAATCAACATATAAAAGTCAATCCTAACTGGTTTGGCTCAGTGGACAGAGCATTGGCCTGCAGACTGAAGGGGCCCGGGGTTCGATTCCAGTCAAGGGCACTCATCTCAGCTGCAGGTTCAATCCCTGGCCCCATTTGGGGCGGTGCAGAAGGTAACCAATAGATGTGTCTCTCTCACATCAATGTTTCTCTCTCGTTGTCTCTACCCCTCTCTTCCCTTCTCTCTAAAAATCAATGAAAAATTATCCTCAGGTAAGGACTAACAATAAATAAATAAGTAAGTAAGTAAGTAAGGAAGTTTCTATACACCACCAACGAACTATCAGAAAGAGGAATAAAGATAATGATGGTTTTTTAACGTCCAGTGTAACAAAACGGGAAGCACACATACAGCACTTGTGCTGCACACTAAAGTGTAGTTCCTGTCTCAAGGAAAAGCGCTGGTGTGATTGTGTGAACTGAGAGTTGGGAAAGCTGCTTTGTTTCATGGAACATGAATTTTACTTGAAAGAGTGACTGACATGATTATTCAGTCTGGATATTTGGCTGACCTTTCCTCAAAACTAAATGAAGGGAGCTTATCACAGCAGGGAAAACAACTGACAGCATTTTTAAACAATGATAAAATGTGAGCTTTTTAAACAAAAATTGGGATTTTGGAAAATGTGAATCTATCTACCCTTATAAACTTGATAGCTTCCCAATCTTTAAAGACTTTTTAAAATGAGATTGAGAGTGTTATTAATGAATGTGATTTTTTGATACTGTATAAAATGAAATGCATCAACAATTAAAAGGTCTGTGCAACTCAGATTACCAATATTATCCAAGTGTATGATGCTACAAAATCATGAATGGGTAAAAGATCCACTCAAACTGTAAGCTACACAAAGGATTTCAATGTAATGGATTATGAAAGGATGAAAATATATGTTATAGTAAGAACTGGGAAGACTATTCCAGGCACAAGCAACAGCCAGCAGAGAGATCAGTATATTATGATGCTAGTACAGATTCTACATTGCATCTAATCTGTAAGAAAATAATTTGTTGAGTTGTGGTATCTTATCAAAGAACAGACACAATAATCTGAAAAGGCTGTTAAAATATTCTTTTCCAACTACATATCTATATGAGGCTAGATTTTCTTAACATACTTCATCCAAAACAAAAGACTGCAACAGATTGAATGCAGACAGAAGAGAATCCAGATGTTTTATATTAATGCAAATATATAAAATACCACTTTTCTCACTAATTTTTTATTTTAGAAAAAATATATTCATCTTTCATAGAAATATTTATGCTAAATATAATGAGCTTATTACAATTAATTTTAAATGAAGTGATAAATATTTAAAATGTTGTCTCAGATATGATTTCTAATATGCAAATATCAAGAATAAAATTCATGCCCTAACCTGTTTGGCTCAGTGGATAGAGCATCGGCCTGTGGACTGAAGGGTCCCAGGTTCGATTCCGGTCAAGGGCATGTACCTTGGTTGCGGGCACATCCCCAGTAGGGGGTGTATAGTAGGCAGCTGATCGATGTTTCTCTCTTATCGATGTTTCTAACTCTCTATCCCTCTTCCTTCCTCTCTGTAAAAAAATATATATATAAATAAAACTCACATAAACAAAAGCTCTTCAGGGTCCTTTTTAGTTTAAAGGGGTAGAGAACTACTGTACCAAAACACTCATCTCCCCCAACAGAAAGCAAAATGAGTTTCTTAACACAATCAAGGACTACACAAAGCCTTAATAAATAGAAGGTGGCCAATGGAAGACATTACAGGCAGAGTCTCATGGTCTTCAATACTTCTGAAAACCTCCAATCAAGCCTTAAGCCTTCTGCCAAGTGATCTTTATAAAACTGAAATTTTGATTATTTTAAAAACAGTGCAAAAATCCTTTGATGGTTCCCCATAGCCTCCCTTGAACTAGTATAAAAGAAATTTCATTTTCTGGCATTTACCTCTCTAAAGCTTTCTCACTCTAATTCATACTCATATCGTACATTCTAGTCATGTTTAACTGTAAAATGTTCTCATTGCCCAGCTGGTGTTGCTCAGTGGTTGAGCACTGACCTATGAACCAGGATGTCACAGTTTGATTCCTGGTCAAGGAATAATCCCAGGTTGCCAACTCAGTCCCCAGTGGGGGGCGTGGAGGAGGCAGCCAATCAATGATTCTTTCTCATCATTGTTGTTTCTATTCCTCTCTCCTTCTTCCTTCCTTTCTGAAATTATATATAAAGTTCTCATTAACCTCTGGTCTTCATACACAGTATACTGCTCCCTCTCCCCAGAGGGCCATCCACTCTGTGCCTAGGCTAGGAAAGATGACCTTTCTATGTACTTCCATACTAACCTGCATATACCTGTCATTCATTCATCCAGGCACTGTACTAAACTGTGGAGAAAGAGTAATGAATAAGACAATTCTCTTTAAGAGCTTCCATTGTCTAATGGGGAACAAAGAAAATGAACATGCAAAGAAACAAGATGTTGGGATAAGTGAGTCAGGGATGGGTGGAGTGGGGAGGGACAACTCTCTGAAGCACCAACATGCAAGCAGAAACCTGAAGGATGAGAATACATTTGGAATACTCTGTACTGGGAAGAATATTCCAGGAACAAAGAACAGCCATGAGAACAAGAGGTGGAAAGGGGGCTTCACATATTCGAGGAGTAGAAGGTAGGTTACTATAGCTTGAGAAGATCAAGCATTAGTGTGTTAAAAGACTCTGTTGGAGAGGTAAGCAGGAATGAGATCACTGTAGTGCCTTTATAAATCATGATAAGGAGTTTCGATTTTAAGAACACAGAGTAACCACTGAAATGTTTTAAGCAGCGTTGTGGCATATGTATTAAGATTACACTAGTGTCTGAGAAGAGAATAGATAATAGGAGTAAAGACAGTGGCTTGAATTAGACAGGTAATGTTGGAAACAGAAATGGAGGGGCTGAGGATTTATGATTAGCTAAGTCAATAGAATGTACTGATAAATTAGATGTGGGGTTAGAGAAGACAGCAGGGGAAGCATGAATTAAGTTTCACTTCTAGGTTCGTAAGCAATTGAGGAGGTAGCAGTGGCTTTTACTGAGAAAGACGAGAAGCCAAAGAGGCTTTGGAGGGAAGAAACAGAATTGTACTTAAGACATATTATTTTGAATGCATATTGGACATAACAGAAAAAATGTCAAATAGGCAACTGCTTCGACAAAACTGCAGCTCAGAAAGAGGCTGGAGCTAGAGGTAAAAATGTGTCTCAGTGGTTGAATATCAACCCATGAACCAGGAGGTCACGGTTTGATTCCTGATCGGGCACATACCGGGATTGTGGGCTCGATCCCCAGTAGAAGGCATGCAGGAGGCACTGGAACATCATCATTGATGTTTCTATCTCTCTATCCATCTCCCTTCTTCTCTCTGAGTAAAATCAATAAAAACTTATTTTAAAAAAATTTAGTTCTCAATATTTAGATGGTACACAAAGCTTTGGAACTGGGTAAGATTACCGGGAGAAAGATGACAGATTAGTGCTTCTCAATGGTGATGATAATGTTCCCTAATAAATATACTGGAAATTTTAAGAGCATTCAGTGGGCAGGAGTCAAGGTTGTCCTGTAATATGTACAAAATCCTACATAACTAAGACTTTTCCTGCAATCGCCCAACTTTCTAATGTTCTGCTAGAGATTCATATAAATAACGGGTATAAAATTATCAACCAAACAAATACAGTTTGGAGCTACCTGATAAACAGAGTCATTATTTTTATCTAATTTATATATTGGATCTTGGCATAAGATTTTGTTTGGAAAAGACTTCTGAGCAAAAACATTTGAAAATCACAATGGATGATTTTAAAGTCATTCCCACTCCCATTCAACTAAACTTTCCCAGATTATATACAGTTTATTAGTGCAACACAATTTAATGTAGTCTTTCTCCATTCTGTATAAGAAAAAAAAAATCTGGCCAGTTTTTTTCTGCCACTGGCAAACAGAAAATGCAGAGCCAAGGAAAAGGAAACCAGTAACTACCAAAAAATGTTTAAATGTGTGTATCCCAGTGAGTTTCATTATCATGAAGGTCTAAAATCCTCCTGTTTCTTTGAGGATTTCCAAGAAAAGATTAAATAAATATTTTGAATTGCCCTCCAGTTATCTATCTGTTCTCATAGCAGAATATAGCTGAGTAATGTTAAAATCTCAAGGGAATGAAATAGAAAAAGCCACACACGTCTGACTCTGCCTTGTGTAAAACTGCAGCAGGGGAGGGTAAACAGCAATTAACTGAAGAGTGGAAAGGAATATAATCAACAATGGAAAATTCATTTGATTGCCATAGGTACTGATGCACCCACATCTATTTTATCTCCTTTTACTCTTTTTCCATCTTCTACTTTACCCTCCCACCCCCACATTTGTCTCTATTCTATTTGCTCATAATTCCAGAAAGGAAAAGTTGACAGCAGAAAACATAAAGATGAAGCATGGCACAGAAACCTAAAAGGTCTAAAATCAAAACTGCATGCCGTTGCCCTAATCTGCAATTTCCTTTAAAGAACACGAGGGAAAGGAGAGTACTCACCACCTGTAAGCTCCACATAACCAGTGAATATCCTCATTTCTTCCTTTATTCCACCTGGGGGTTTTATAGAGGCCATGCCTTTCATGATACACATGATAAAGAATTAAAGAACCTTTGAGGTAGATGAGAACTTAATACAACTTTCCTTTTACCTGTATTTAAAAAGGACCCTGAAGCTTTAAAATGTCGTGTTAAACATTAAGCCCAATGGCATACGACACCAATTTTGGCAAGACCAGTCACAGAATCCAGATTCTTCAGCTTCTAAAACAATCATCTTCCTAATATACCAGGCTGTTCCCCTATTTTTTTTTCCTTGTGTGAAAGGAATAATGCTACTGGATTCAAAATGCTTTTATAAAAAAGTATATCAGTCTCTCCTAAGTATGGAATTCTGATCATGTAAAACAAACATAGGCTCCAAAGATTTGTCGTTTGGTCATTTTATGTTCCCCATCGAGTTGTGTCTCAAAGGGGGCTGCTATCACACTACAGAACTTGCCCAGGCATGCCGTCAGACTGTATCTCTCTTATAACTATCGCCTAGGAAAACAGGCTCCATAAACTGCATTCTACATTGCTGGTTACGTCAGTTTTGAGACTTTCTTATTATTAACAAGTTATGCAAGTAGGCCTTTTGCTGGTCCAATAATTTCTAATGTTTCCATACTTTGTAACCATTACAAATGTGTGTGTATGTACACTGAACTTCTAGTATAAAAATAATCTTTCTTAAAATAAGGATCCATTTACATTCCAGAACACCCACTAACCAGAACACCCACTCTCAGCCCTGAGAAAGGTTTCATTTGGGCAACTATTTGGTCAGCAGGAAAGGAGCTGTTAGCTCAGACTATTTGTAAACAGTCTGCTTTCCTGCTGAGAAAGTGAGAATGAACAAGGCAAGGGACAACCAAGAAAAGAACCAAGGGCACAGTGAGGCTGGAACAAAACAAAAGGTGATTTTTTTTTTTTCTTTCAGAAAAGAAACAATGCAAACTGCCAAAAGTCAGATTTGCTGCCAAATGTGAAGGGGCACGGAAAAATGTACCAAACGTTTTCCTCACTATCATTCACAAAATATTGGTTTTGGCTTATCAGTTGTCAGGATGGGTTAAAGATGGATCTGAGGTGTCCCAGACCATTATCTATCTTCTCACCCCATTTTCTAGCCCCTTCCGTGAGAAGGGAAATCTACTGTCCAGAGTCAAGTCCTGTGAAAGTGAACAAAGGAAACCTTATTTGAAATGGAGTGGGGAGGCCATAAAGGGACACTTCGTTGCAGCTTATGGAACCAGCAGGAAGAAGGCCGTTTCTTCCCTTCTTGCCTCAGCCACAGCAACTGCCCTCTCTCTGCTCATTGCCAATAAGAATCTGCCCAAACTTCAAACTCTTGCTCTCCACCAATGGACTCCTGTTCAAAACACCCCTCCCCATTTCCTCCTGGAACTCAATAATAAAACTGATTGCCCTTTTGCCTCTTCAGACTTGCCTACGGTTTGCCATAGTTTACATGTCCCAAATTGCAATTCCTCTGTTATTCCCAAATAAACTCACTTGTTCTTTTAAGGGTGACAGCCCTAAACCACTTGTATATATCAACTAAATGAATATTTTCTCCCACTTATTAAGATGAAGGGAAAAAATGAGAATCTTGGGAGGAAGTTGTAAGAAGGAAATATTCAAGCAGTCACAGCATATTTGGAATATTGCTTATCAAAAAAATTCCCCCTTTAGTCCTTTCTGATCATGAAGCGTTGGTTCATCTTTTCTTCATCTTTAACACCTAAACTCTTTTATTTTGTTCCGTCCTTTCTATTTTTACAATTACTAACAAGACCCAGTGCATATCACTTACATCTAGATGTAATACCAATGGCCTCCTCTCCTACCACTTCCTCTTCTAATCTATTCTTTCTGCCTTCATCAAGTCTTTCCCAAGCTTACAAATCCTCATTGGTTCTGTAGTATTTCTTCTAACCTACCTTACCATTCAGGGCTTCCTTCCCACTGTTCTCCATTTTAAAAACACTCAAAAACAGAAAAACATTGATAATACCCTTCAAATTCAACTGCTCTTGTTCCCCACATTTCGCCTTAATCATTCTTACTTTGTTTGCTTATGCTGTATTTCCCCTCCTAGAATGCACCTGCCCCCTCCCCAAGAAATAATACTTTACCAATCTTTTATCACTTAATCATATATTGCTTTATATTATTATTCAACTGTGTATGTACCCATCTCCTCACTGGAATACAAGCTCCTTCTTGGCAGCAACTATTTCATATTTCTTTTATCCCCCCTAAACTCAATACATTTTTATAAAACAAAACTGCATTAAGCATCTTAAATCCTTGTCAAATATCCTTTGATGAAATCTCGTCCCTTATTCCCATACCCCTCCCAAAGTAAAAATTGAATCCAACAAACAATGTCAAAGGTAACATTTTCTTGCAGTTGCTGCATGGAGCAAAGCAAGATACTGATACCTGAAACAGTAGGCTTAGTGATCCTTCACCTCTGGCTGTAGTGCTTAAGGATAAGCTATTATAAGGCATTGAGGCCCCGTGCACGAAATTCATGCACTTGGGGTGGGGGTGGGGTGTCCCCTCAGCCTGGCCTGCGCCCTCTCGCAGTCCGGGACTCCTTGGGGGATGTCTGACTGCTGGCTTAGGCCCGATCCCCCCCCAGGGGTCAGGCCTAAGCCGGCAGTCGGGGCATCCCTCTCGCAATCCGGAATCCCCCACTCCTTACTGCCCGCCTGCTTGCTCCTTACCGCAGGCTCCTTACCTCTCGGCTCGCTGCTCCTCAGCACTGCCATGGAGACAGGAGAGGCTCCCGTCACCTCCGCTGTGCTCACTAGCCATGACCCCAGCTTCTGGCTGAGTGGCTGTTCCCCCTGTGGGAGCGCACTGACCACCAGAGGGGCAGTTCCTGTGTTGAGCATCTGCCCCTGATGATCAGTGCACATCATATTGACTGGTCGTTCCAGTTGTTCCACTGTACTGGTCGCTTAGGCTTTTATTATATAGACTAAAGGCCTGGTGCACGAAAATCATGCATGGGTAGGGCTCCTAGGCCTGACTGGCAATCAGGGCCAATCTGTGGGGCATCATAGTGACTGGTCGTTCTGCCATTTAGTCAATTTGCATATTAGGCTTTTGTTATATAGGATACTGATATAAATTTAACCACTTTGATGATACTAAAAATTATCCAAAAAGAGTCATATCTTTTTTTGTGATCAAAGTACCTCCTGAAGTCAACAATGCCGTGGAATGCTTACTTCAAGGATGGCATCCATAAAATAAAATAAATGTCCAATTTCCAAGAAAAACCCATTCCCCAAAACTTGGCCCTAAAGAGCATAAGCTCAAAAGGCTGTCTGGTGTCTAGGAAGCTGACATTTTCTTTTCATTTATGAGTACTTACCTGAATTCAAATGTCTGAACGGGCATCATGAAAGTTCATGTTAAACACAAAAAGGGAAATTTACTTTCTGCTTTAATTAGCAATGGAAACAACCATTTGCAGAAAACACCAATCCCCCCATATTAAAAGTTCATAGGTCTCTAACAGTTAGCCAATGTTACTTTTGGGAAAACACAGGCAAGCAATGAAGATAATTTTTAAGAAATGTGCCCTAGTATTGACATGCATAGCTAATTTCTAAATAGATCCAGAATACAACCACATTTTAGGATTTACCACTTCAGCTTTGGTCTAAACCACTATCACTTGTCCACCTGGATTACAGCATCAACTTTGAACTGTTTTGTCATCTTCTGTACTTACCCACCCACTATTTACTCTCTATGCAGCAGCCAGAATAATGTCATTAAGACTTATGTTACTCATCTGCTTAGAACTTTCTGACTTTCTATCTTTCTCAGAGTTAAGTTCTTACGATGGCATGCAAAATCTTACATCAGAGGTACTTAGTAGGAATGTTTCTGATGATCACAATGACTAGAGAGAAGTACTGGAGTTTAATGAGTACCACCAGAGTTTTGAATATCCCATGGAATATCCGCATAAGTGAATTATATGAATTCTTTCAGTGTACTCTGACTTTTACAGAATGTGTCCTCCATGTAAACTAAGGAAAAGCTACACTTTATTTGCTGTAGAACTTTATCAATATTTTTTTTACCATTTCATAAAACCCCATCATCATTAGTAACACTGTTCATGATACCTGAGTCACCAATATAAAACACCTGTGTGCACTGGAAATATAGGGGGGTGGGGGCACACACTTTGTAAAGCATATGACTGTCTAACACATGAAACTAATACAATATTGAATGTAAACTATAATTGAAAAAAAGGACACCTGTGTAAGTCCTAATTTATAGCTCTCAAAGTCAGCAACTTATATAAAGGCTACTTGTATTCTAAACTTGTCATTCTATAGCATTTACATAATTAAATGACATTACTTTCGTCTTCTTTATATTATGTTCAGAACATTGCACTATTTTCTTTTTTAAACTGAGAGCATAGAAAGCTTATATCATCTATTCATTTCAGGAGAGAAAAGGGATATTACAATAGGCTGGCTATAGAGAGAGTGTTTACTTTATAAAGCTGAAGGTCGCAGCCCCATATAATCTGCATTTACTCCCACCTCCTTCTACCTGTGTGTCCTCAACTCCCACAATTCTTCCCCTCATCAACTATGCTCCATCCACACTGGCCTTTGTGGTAATATCTTGAAAACTTCAGGCTCCAGCACAGGGCCTCTGTCCTTGCTGTGCCTCTGCCTGGAAAGTACTTCCCCCAGGAATCACCATTACTTCCTCCCTCACATCTAACATGTTTCTGTTAGAGCACTAGTATCTTCTCAGTGAGGCTTCCCCTGACTGCCCAATATAAACCTGAATCTCTCTCTCTGGTAATCCCTATCCTCTTCTTCCTGCTTTGCTTTCCTCCACAGTACTAATCACCATCTGCTCTAACTATCTTTTCCTGGGTGACATATCACTACAACTTAATGGCTTAAAACAACCATCTATTGCTACTTTTCATGATTCTGTGAGCTGGGTGGGTTCAGCTGGTGGTTCTTGTTTGGGGTCTCTTATTTGATTACAGCTAAATGGGCCTTGGGACTGAAGTCATCTGCAGGCTTAACTGAGCTAGACGACCAAGATGACTTCTTCAACCACATGTCTGGTGCCTTAGCTGGGATGGCACAAACAGATGGGTGCCGGCCAGGAATCTTTGTCTCACTATTTAGCTTTCCCAGACGACTAGTTTGGGCTAGCTCAAAGCACGGTGGTCTCCTGGTAGTCAGACTGCTTACACGACACAGGCTTCCTCCAGAACTCACATTCCAAAAGACCAAAGTCAGAGTTTGTGAGGTTTACGACCTCGCCAAGGAAGCTTCATTTCTACCTTGTTCTGTTGGTTACACAGAATCTGCCTGAATGAAGTGTGGGAGGGGACCACAAAGGGTATAAATACTGGAAAGCAGAGTACACTAGTGAGCTATCTTCAGACTATTACCACAATACGTAAAATGCTACAGCTTTTACTTTTTTATTGTAAATATTTCATTTATTGTACCTCCCTTTCCACAAAGATATACATTCTCAAGGAAAAAGATGTCTGTGTACTTTTTCACGACTATATTCCTAGCACATGTTATGTTCTTAATATTAATTTAAAAAAAGGATTTTTGCATTAGGTAAGTGATATGCATAAATAATTCACCCTATATGCTTACTTCTCACCCTGGGTTTCTCCCTTACTCAAACTCCTACCAATTTAACTTTCTGGAAAGGAACTTGGGTAATTTTGGAAGAAGAAAAGTGAAAGACAAAGTTGAAGGCAAAAATCAAAGACAGAAATATAAAAAAGGGTCACAAACTGCTTACTTTGCCCATGCAGACATCTCTGATCACTACAGCACCTGAAAATTCTCCTAGCACACTTATAAAATGAGCCAGATTTTATATTTAGTAATTCTACATAAATTATTCTGTATAATTACCCTTATAAAACCCAGTTAAATAGTTATGCTGTCTATAATTTCACGTGTCGGCTTTGTCTGTTGGATAAGAAATAATTTCTTGAGAACCAGCTCATTTTAATTTTTAAGAACAAATTTTAATTCAGAATTCTCAACATATGACATAATACAAATCTATGCATACTAGTGTTACAGAAAAAACTGAACTAGTTAGTGAATTCTTCTAGTTGGTAGAGACAAAGTAGCTGTGACTATGTGGTTAAAAGGGTGTTGGTCATGGTCACCTCACTTTCTAAGCCTATGTCTACACTTGATGTCATACATTTAGCAGTTTCTCCAGGGGCTGTAGCTTTCAATACTGACTGTATATTAGAAGCACCTGGAAAGTTTTAAAAATCCCCCATGCCAGACTACATCCCAGACTAATTAATCTGAATTTCAGAGCCCAAGCATTCATACTTTTTAATGTTCCTTGGTGAATTCAATATACAGTCGAGACTCAGAATCATTGTCTTAAACTCTCCCTTCTCCTTTACTTCATCAGTCTCTTCTAAACTAGTAGTAGGGGGAGAGGGGGAGGAATAAAATG